AAATGAATGATTGATATTAAGTTATTCTAAACTCACTTGAGAGCAAATCATGTGTGAAGTATGGATAACGATCAWACTGCTGGCTCATCAGAGCAGCTACCTTCCTTTTCGTCTTGCTGCATAAGTATTTGCTGCCTCGCTCGCCATCTTAGATGTGATGGCAAAGTTCGCTGGGAGAGATGCTTTGAAAGATTCTCCACTTCTTTCTGGAACTCGGTCAAGAGAAGTTGAGGATCACAAGGCTGCTCTTGGTGGAAAACRGCACCCAGACGAACATGATTTCCATACGTAGCGATGGATAACGACARCCCTGAACTGTTTGGCTTAGGCTCCCAGAATGTCATATATTTAGCCATCTTCCCGTTGAAATACACCGGGGTATTGGGTCCCGACAGAAACGTTACGGTACAAGAAGCTTTACCAAGCAAGAAATCAACCACACGRCGTGCAAGGGACAGTGGGAAGAGAATCAARCAAAATCGAAGAAATGCAAAAAACGCAAAGCCTTCTATCATTGAATTGAAGTCCTCCATTCGYCTTCTCATGTCCCACAGACGAGGAACTGCACCTGTACAGGACACGTATTTAGTATAGACAGATAACTCTTTTCATAAGTGAACAATATAATTTATACCATTTAAAATATCACCCACTCTTTTCGAATTCTTATTTTTGTCGCATTTGGTTTTCATATTTTACTCATGATTTCATGATTATTTTACAGATTACTATATTGTATACATTGTTATTTCTACCTATACAGCCTTTTGCAAAAATTATGAGAATTGTTGAAATATCTAAATATCATAATATCAAGTGCATGATAGGTAATCCCGGGCGATGCCCTTTGTCCCTTGTCTTTGTTGTTTAGTTTTTTTTGGCGACAGACTTATCCGTAGTTCTGAACATTTTCTTGATGTCAACAATGAATTATTCTAGCAAACCCGCGTGTTCCGGACAATATATGGATATGGATATTATGATATTTAGATATTTAGATATTTAGACAATTCTCATAATTTTTGCAAAAGGCTGTATATAGATTTTATATAAATAGAATAAATTGAAGAAAAAGCCACGAAACGAACGTTTCGGCACTTATAGATTTTATATATATAGATTTTTATATATTTGAAAAATACTGTCTGATGAGTGCGTAGCACGAAACTCGGAGTAACAGAAAATCTTGCCTCTTTGATATTATATATATAGATTGTATATATGATTTTTAATGTACTTTTTTAAATTTTGCCTTCAGAGTTAGAATTCCTTCGTTTCTTGACTAGTTCTACAACAATCTCTCGTCTTGTAGACACCCTCACTGGCAAACATCCTTTGTATCATGCAAATCCTACGCAGTGGGAGTAGGAAGGTATTTTTTGGCATATTCTGTGCGAGAATCGCCGACAAATTGCAGCTGTTACGCGACAATCAACGCYGATAATCGCCGGATACTCTTACWTAAGCGGTCTGAAGAGCGCAAGAAGAAAGTGGCAAGCAAAATTGCTGGTTCAAACAAGTCTCAAAGACTTTAAAGGCGCCATTGAAAMTATAAACAGAAGCGCGCAGTGAATTATGGTAGAGATGACAATTTRATGGTATAAATCACCTGGACTTTTAGTTAGTACTTTAATGACTTTGTAAAATACAGAACTTTTCAACAATCAACCATCTTGTTTGTGGCATTGATACAGTAAAGCAATAAAAAACACAGCGTTCCCGCACGAACAGCAAACTATAATAATTATAGCTATAATAGTGCTTTTTGGACTCCACCCTCAAAACTAAACGAAATATGTATAGAGAAAAAATAATAAATGATGTTTGTCAATTAAAGCAATATTTAATAACGAAAATTACAGATTATGTCTAATTCAGAAAAACGTTGAATACCGAATACTGTATTCTTCATTCCAAGACGGCGATGCATTACTGAAATTTAACTTCACGATATTTGCGTTGGAAAATGTTGATTCTAGACTTAATCGCTTTCCATTGAAGTTCTTGACCATATAGAGCTAGTAGTCCGTGTCGCTCTGAAGTAACGAAAACTCCTTTTCGACGGCTATCAGAACGAMCTACAATGCACTGCGGTCTTGGAATACACTATCTTCAATATTCAACGTTTTCTGAAATATATAGCTTGAGTTCATCTTACCTTCAGTTGCTGACGGGAGATCAACAAAGACATAAGAGAGGTGATTGTCCAGTCTAAGTTTAGTATGTTGTGGTCTGGTATCTATTTTTATACAAGCACGTAGATCGTCTGGATGGTCAATTCCACACATATAAAAATAGGAACGTAGTGCCCCAGCCAGACAAGACATTAAAATCACATTGACTGAAAACAAATACAGACCATTACGACCATGCAAAGATAACTTAATTGAAAACACAGTTGAGGGGGATTATTGGAATAATGCCGAGACATGCGCTCATTTGATGTTCTYATATTATTGGCTCCTGCCAAGCAAATGATCATGTTAAACTAAATACATGTACTATCGGCTTTGGATTGCATTATATGTAAAATATTCGTGACTTTAAACCTGTTTAGCGTAGGCATTACCTTTTCGCAAAGACTTTAACAAAGTTTATTAAAATGATATGCAAATTATGGGATACCATCGCTTACATTTTTTTTTGGAAAAAAATACGTTCTGGAAAAAATATCAGCAATGATATCCTATAATTTCTGATATATTTCATATCAAGTTGAGATATGCATCAATCGATCGTGTCTGCATATGCTGCATATTAAAACMATTAAACATTAACATTAGCATTGAAATAGTTTGAGTCTAAACAAGCAGTAATAGGAGAAGATTTACAATTAACATGAACATCAACGCATGCTATCTTCAAACAATATAAATGATCAAGGGAAGCAGGTGTCTGACAGATACATTGTATTTGTTAGATATTGCAGGCCAGATATTACTGTCCAACAACAGCTGGAAGAAGTGTGTTTACATGTAAGTATACTTGCAAGTAAGGTTATCATTATTTGTCAATTTTATCCAGACAGACTTGGTCATCAATTAGAATATACTATCATAACATCCCTCAATAATAGCTCCCAAGCAGTGTTTTTTTTTTCTTCATTTTTTCGTTTCTTTTCTTTATTTTTAATGTTCCTTTTTATCATTTTTAGAGTCCAAAGAGAATCCAAGTTGTGTAAGTCTAGTATATCTCATATTTCTTATATGTTTACTATGTAAGTTAATGATTGTATATATATTAATAATAAGACTGCTCCTGAATTAAACTTYTTGGAAGTTTATTGAATTTTGCATCTATATGTGAACAAAATGAGCAGAAATGTAAATACAATTATTCATATCTAATATTAACAGTGTTGAAATAAAGGATGACAWGCGCAACATGAGCAGTCAAGTAGAGAAGCCATGATAGCAGATCTTTTTTTCCTTTCTTTCTTTTTAGTTGGATAATGGAAGCTATTAATATTCCTTCAAATATTGCATAAAAATCTAACCAAAATTGTAATTTTAAAGAATTTGACTTTGACTTTTTGTTTTCTTCAAATAATCTTACTATTTATAAAATGCATTAGACATTGAATTCTTTGAACTGTCTAATAGTTGTGTGGGGTCTTAATTTCAACTTGACATTGCGTCCKCCAACTACAGTAGACTTGCTACCAAGATTCTAATTTCATAGAAAATTCTAATAGAAAAAGTATAATTGATAAAAGAATTGAATTTAGAGTTTGAACAATAATTGTTAAAAAAAATGTAAAAAAGGCAGATTTTTTTCACATGAAGTAATGGGTCATTCATTATTTAGGGGGGTGGCGGGCGTGATTAATTAGCAAAGGAAACCTTTTTTTTTTTTTTTTGGGGGGGGGGGGGGCTGCAATAAACATTTTTTTGTCAAGGACCCCCCTTATCCTAAATATAAATACCCCCCCCCAAAAAAAACAAACAAACAAACAAACAAACAAAACAAAACATTCAAGTAATACAAAAATTTTCCTTCCAGTCCATGCCACTCTCCCACTACATCAGTGAACGGTCCTTAAGGCAAACCAGTTAAGCAAGAACTCAAATGATATCAAATGATTTAAATAACATATTATGGRAAAATTGGATTTATTAAAATAAATCTTGGATGCAATGTGTGTGAGAAATGTCAAATTGTGCTGGTCGTTAAGTGTGAGTCAAAACTCCTTAAAAATGTTAGAATAGTGTACTTTAAATGACARGTGATAAACTAAACAAATCTATCCTACAGTAGATTGGATCGGTAACTAAAACTCTACCAGGAATAGTTGGATTTCAGAATAACAATCAAACACCAGCCAGACATTTTTGCCAATTTAAATGGGTTACAAATTAAAATAACTGTTCATCAGTCTATAGTCAATAGTACATTTCTTGATAATGGCCGCTTAGGCCGAAAGCTCGGTATTAAAAATATCACTAGTAAACGCAGAGGACTCATTTATTTTTAGAGTACATTTCTTGTTTAATTAGCTTTCTGCTTTAACTTTAAGGTGTTAATGAGGAAGTCATTACAAATTGACTAGCCATGCCTCATTAAACAGCAATTTCATCAAAACTCCTTGAATGAACTTGARGTTAAAACACCAGTGTATGCTATTTATTGAATGAAAAAAAAAAAGAATATCGAATCCATTCAGGAAATAATACATGTACCATTCCTATGTTTCTAAAGATACAAATACCCTTGACTAGTAATGCCAACTACACARCAATCCAACTTTCACAGTTTATTAACAGCAAAGCTCATTATAACAGAGTTCATTAGGATAGACAAATACTTGAAAGCAAGAGGAGAGTAATGCAATTGTATATACTTAAATATTTGAACTCTTAATTATTATTCAATATTTTACTATCTACACAAATCTGATATTTATAGTTAAAAACTATAGGTAAAACTGAGAACATCCTCAAATTACTTCTGTAAAACAATTAAGTTTGTTTACAAAAGAAAAAAAAAACAAAACAAAATTAAAGCTCTTTAGTTGGCTGCAAAACAACTTGCCACTGATAATGAAATTCGACTTCTAATGTTATTTTCATTCAACTTACATGTACAAGTACTCTATCTTGTCAAAATTGAAGATTGTGCGAAAAAGTAATCTTATTAACGCTAACTTTCATTCATCGATATTTTCATTCATTGATCACTGATATTTTTTTATGAAGACATGTGGCTCATCAAGTAAAATCATCTCAAAAGAGGACGTAAAAATAAACATCAAAGGAAACGCTGTTGTGTATTTATGTGTTTGATTCCCACTCTCAACGCCACAGGATTTGAATTCAGAGACTCCCTGTCTTCTTCAATGTCAGTGGTTTTCCTTTAGTCAATTTTGGACATGAACAGTAGGGATAAAAGTAAAGACTGTTTGGTAAAGTAGGCACTTTAAAGAGTGATATCCCAACCAAAACAATGAAAAGAAAGGTATCTTTACTTAGAGACACTGACAAAATCCCCGAACATCCATTTAACCCGTGCCAAACTATTACAGTACTTTCCTTTTTTTCTCTTATTTTTACCAAATGTAATGAAAATGTGTGTTTTGTATAAAGTGTAATGTCACAGATCACTGATTGGTATTTTACTAGCTTGTCTAGTACAGAATCATTTCATAAATTCTAATAATTTTGACTAAAAGGAGCATTTGGAACTTTGCACTGTAGCAAGTCCATGTCAAACTGTGCTGTACAATCCTTGATGATTCTTTTTAWGCTTGCTTTGCCGATAAACTTACAGAGCAAGCTGTTCAAAAGCTGGGCTTGTTAGAGAATGTATAGAAGTTATGATAAAACGTTTGAATTCTAATGTTGCTTGAATACAAAACAATATTTGAAGAAAACAATTTCTAAATGAAATGCCAATTTGCATAGTGTTCAACTTCAAGGACAGCTACAAAACATTTGTTCATTTTAATATAAGCAGTTATCAATTATTTATGTACTATTAATCCCAGCCTGTGTTTAAATTGTCAGTGTTTTATAAAATGAAAAATGATAATTTCTTTAAATCCACAAAGCCATTAGCAAGTGTTCTAGGGCCTAGTAGRCTGTTTTTGAAAATAATTTCTGAATACAAACGAGTTTACGCAAACGTCTTTGACATRCATGTTCCCATAGTAACCAATCATTGCYTAGTATACATAAATATTAATCTTATCGTAAGCATGATTTATGCGATTTTATTCCCTAATCGGAACTTTAAACGAGAAATTTCTGCTTCAATAAGCACTGTTCAAAGAACGTCAATTTACTTTTATTCACTAAAATCCTTGTMAAAATGTGCCAWGGTTTCCTTTGATTCTTTCGAAATTAATGCTCCAATAATAGGCTAGAGTCYGGGACTAGAGGAAATAYGACAGAACTAATCAGGAAATAGCAGGAATCCAAAAAAAGCATCTAAAAATATCTACAAAGCTATTGCAAAAGAGAGTGCACGTTGGTCTTTTTGCAAATAATGCTTAGTTAAACACTTCAAGCTCGCACGTAATAATTAAATGCGAAAACGAAATTATTTCCATATTACTTAATGTGTGCCTTACCTTTCGTCCTTGAAATATCTTTGACTTTTTTTACACTTTTCATGTCGATGGCTTCGCTCCACAAAACCTTGTTATATTGACAATCGTTGTTTTGGTCTAAAATAGTCTTGGCCTTGGAATGGAATAGTCGGCGAGTGACGATAAGAGGTCCAGCGAATGCCGTACAAAAATATAGACACAATCGATGCATTGGAAAACAACGGTCTTTCAAATAAACATTTTTATATTCAAGAGACTCAAATACAAATCTTGCGAAAGGGAAAATATCGCAGACAGAATGGTGCATTTGAAAAAGAATACCAGAATCTTCGCTGTCAAGAAATTTTGGGAAAACGGTCACTTGCCATAGTCTCTTCGGATCATTCGAGTTTACTTCGTCTATGTAGGAATTGACTCCTAAAAATTCAACAGCACTAATTTCTGTTCCACTTTGGTCAGAAACACACACAAAATTCTCGGTTTGAAGATCCCCAAGTTTCCTCCAAGCGAATCCCGAACATACTTCTACAGCACACATTCGCAGTTTGGCAAAGCGGTATTTCTTCTTTGCACTACAATAGTGAAGCCATTTGTCGTTGATCAATTCCTTAAGTTCTTCTACATTAATATGCCCCTCTAGGAGAAAGAATAGGCTTGAWATTGAATTGTTGTTAATAGTAGGAGAAAGCCATATTGCGTCTAAGGAATTAACTGTATCTAGCTTTCCGTGACGAGTGTTTGTCTTGACGCAGCAAGTCTCCATGATACGACGGATGAAAAGAACAAGCGGTAAAACTGTCAAACACAAGCAAAGACATAAAACGAACAGAGTTGCATTCAGCACAAATGAGACAATTAGCTGGCAAAGCCTTAGCAAGAAGAATGAGTCTGTAGGATGGCGAATTCGCTTGATCTTTGACGATGGTTTCGGTTGTAGTATGCCGTTGTTAGAGATGTTTGACACGGGAACGAATTCCTCGTTGTTATGATCTGAAAGCCTTGGAGAAGCCCAAGCGCTGTTTGAAGCTGACGACATATCCCAGCCATTTAACCATTTGCGAAGAAACCAACAGCTTTTGACTGCATAATAAGTTATTAGAATGAGAGCGAAGTTCGTGCAATCGAAGTTTAGGCGGTTGTGTTGACCCAAACAAACTTGCAGCTCACTGAAGTAAAGAGACGAAACATCCCTAATAGCACAAGTAGATATCAATATCTGTAATTTTAAGCAATGRTGTATTATGGCTGCATCAAAACATGCCTCTCTATAGGTACAAATTGCTCTTGAACTGCCGCGAACAAGAGCTATATTTTTTGTCTCTTCGATGAGTGATTAGACTCTGCATTCTGATTGGTCCGTATCTATAAACACGTCTATGATTGGTTGATTCCGTTCAAGGGCAAACATAAAGCGGGAACAGCTGAAATAAAGTATTCAATCCTCAGCAATGTTTATTTAGGTATTATCATTTTAATAAAGGTTTTGATAAACTCATGGGGAAAAAAGGAAAATAAACGATAAACTACATCTAAACCAAATTAGATAATTATTAAAAACAGAATAGAAAGAAAAGCAAGAAAAAAATCTCATCAACTATAATCAATACCAGTTAATATGACCAACTTCGACCAATATAACCAAACCTTGTGGGGTCAATGCGAAAATACCGATATTTTGAACTTAAAAGATTATCAAAATCTATACAATTTCATTGATCAAAACAATAGAATAAAAACRTTTTTTTMCATTTCGACTCGYAAAGTCCAATGGATTTCCAAAGGTCAGTGGTATACATATTTTTATTCTAAARGGTCCCCAAAATGGCGTTCACTAGTAAATGACAGCGYTAGCCATGTATATATTGAAGCCATTTTTTTAACAAATCCATCGCAAGGGAATGGAATAGCTGGGATTTGAACTGCTGACTAGTTCTATTTGATACATCAATCTTCAATGAAATCAAGAATTTAATTTATTATATTGGATATTTGAATGGTTTGTTTATTTTCACGGGGGAAATGTTTTGTCTTTCTTGATTGTTTACTTTTAGTTATTCATTTTATGCATTTCAATCATTATTCTTAGTTTTCTTTTTCTTTCTTTSAGTTTCGCTTCACTTTTCGTCATTTTCTTTGTACCCTTTTTTCATCTTCGGCTGAGTTGGAACAAAAAGACACAACCACAAAAGCTGAGATGAAAAAGAAACTGTGCTAAGCTGATTTTAAAGAGCGAAGAAATGACAAGTTTTTTTGGCTGTGTTACTAGTGGGGCGGATAAGTGCAGAATTTAGACTGAATTGTTCACTTTTGGGTTAAAAGCACCAAACTTTCTGGAAATATTGCTTTTAATACACTTATCAATATTAGATATGGAGCCACCGTGAAAATGAGCTCTGATTTGAGTTATAGGGGATTTTTCAAAATGGCCGCCATCTTGACCGGAAGTAAAATGGTCAATTAAAAAAATCGTCCCCTTTACTAATATTTTCTTCTTCTTTTCACTTTATATTTCATAAAGCAGTTATCTAGACAATACTAATTTAAAATTTTACCAAAAAGGAAAAAAAA